CTAAGTAGGATCCCCGAGACTGTAAGTCTTTAGGGAGGTAGAAAAATCTCCTCTTTCTCCGAGGAAGGCTGGTGGGTTTGAACTGCCAGCCTTTGGGTTAGCAGCATAGACCACAGCATCACCAGAAACAACTTAGAAACGGACAGACGCCAAGGCTAGGTCCCCACGATTGTCCCAAAGGACGTGAATTCGCGCTCCAGCCCTGCGGGTAGCTAGGTGTTCTTCATGCTGCACCAGGAAACCCGTGTGCTGAATTCCAGCTCAGTCTCCTCACCTGCACAGGAGTTAACAAGAGGGAGGACCAGCGCTGTCCGCCTTCCGCCTCCGTGCCCAGACCTTTATATTTGTAGTTTTCACGTCTATTACAAACACTTGTGTTGGATCAATTTCCAAAATTGGATTTCTGTGGCAAGGTGAATGAAGAGTTAAACGTGTACTATTGATGTTACCAAGTAAAAAATGTATCTTTTAGTTGCACCTTAATTTCCTAACAGTTGCCATTGATTTGAAATCTGGATTGATTTACATGTACAGTGTCAAGAACTTGGGAAAGTGAATACAAGGGTATAAAGACTGTTGGAAGATCAAATCACATAAAACAATATAAATTCTCAGAAGAGTATTTAATAGTCTTTTTGACTACAGCTCTCAGAAATTTGATTATAATTCACTCATTGAACTTAAGTTTTTGATCTCTTAATTTTTAAAAATCAGATCTGACAAATTAGATACGCTATATACGTACACAAGGTTATTGGGGGAAATTTATGTGGTCAAATTTTCAATGTTTTTAGATTCTTAGCACATTTAAGTGCTATTAATGCATACTCCTAAAGATCTGATTGTACATTTCTTCAATCTTAAGACAACTTTGTGTAATGACTAATTATTTCCATATCTAGTGGAGCCCTGGTGTGGTGCTGTAGGACAAGCACTGGACTGCTCACCACCAGGTCGTTTCAAACCTACCAGCTCCTTCCTGACAAAGCAGTTGTGAAGGTCCAGGAGTTTACTAAAACACTTCAAAAATGACAAGTTGTACTTTCTAACAGAGACAGTGAAAGATGCTTTTCCTTTTTATTGTTGATGTGTTCAGAAAACATAAGTAAATTAACACTTAGGACAGAAAAGACCACCACCAAAAACAAACACGAATCTCTTGGAAACGTGTTATATTGAAAGGTTTAGATTCTGGTCCAAGATGGAGAACCTTAGCCGTCAGAATCAAAGTCTGCCTTTCCATTAAATTTAACAAGCACTTCCTGGGGAGTCCCTATACACACCCTCACCTGGCAGAGAGACCATGGACTTGGGGGTCTGGTTAAGGCTGATTTTGCATCTTACCAGCTGTGGGTCTTTCAGCACGTAAATGAGCCTTTATGAGCTCCATCTGAGCTTCCTTTTCAGTTCAGAAAATGTGAGCTAGGAGTTACCAAGCACTGCAGTTTTCAGAATAAAATGTAATCAAAACAGTAAGTTGGGGGTTACTGTCTGTCAGACAGCACTTAGCTACAACTTGCCCTTTAAGGTTACATCAATGTGTCTGCACTTGGAAAGGCTGAACCCAGCCTGACTCACTTCATCACAAGCCCTTTACTTGCTGCACCTGCAGCTTTTGCCCAATTAAAAACGCTTCCAGTCATTTCTTATTCTAAAACCCACCCCCTGTATCAGATCCATTCTGACTCCTAGTGACCCAGGCAGGACTGCTCCTTGGGTTTCTGAGACGGAATTTTTATGGGAGCACATAACCTCATCTTACTCCTTGAGGAGCAGGTGGTGGTGGTTATGTGCCGTGGAGTCGGTTCCCACTCATAGCGACCCTGTACAGGGTTTCCGAGGCTGTAAATCTTTATGGGAGCAGAAAGCCTCATCTTTCTCCTACCCAACAGCTGGTAGTTTCAAACTGCTAATCCTGAGGTTAGCAGACCGATTCGTAATAGTAGGTTCAAACTGTCAGTCTTGCTGTTAGCAGCCCAATGCTTAGCCCACTGTGCCACCAGGCCCCTTTCTTGCACTAAAGGCTAATTAATAACCATGTACAGCAGTTCCAACTTAAGTACAATGTCAACTTAAAGACACACTTAAGAAGGGATCACCTCAGGATTGTCTCAACAGAGAACACAATGCTAGTTCTCTTTGTACAAAGCCCTGTCCTTTGGCTGAAGGTCACATGCAGGGGAAAGGCAGATGCACACAAATTATTCAACACAGAATAATTATTCTATAAGAGAAACCCAGACTCTTTGTGTGAAGCTGGAGGATCAGCACAGGACTGTGAACCACAGGTCAGCAGTTCAAACCCACCAGCTGCTCCTTGGAAACACTATGCAGGTTTGCTGAGTAGGAACCAACTCGATGGCATTTAACAACATAAGAGAAACCCAGCCCCAAAGCAAACCCACCACTGTCTTGTGAATCCCAACTCCGTAACCTGGAAGGACACAGTACTGCTTCAAAGGGTTTCCTAGATCATAAATTTTTATGTGAGCACACTGACTCTACACGATAGGGCTTTCTGCTCCCAAGATTAAAAGCCTTAGAAACCCTATTGTGGGTCAGTAGGAGTCGGAATTGACTCCACAGCACTTAGGCACTTAATAACAATATGGGAACAGATGGCCTCATTTTTCTTTCTGTGGAGCAGCTGCTGGGTTTGAACTGCTGATCTTTCAGTTACCAGCCCACACTTAAGAATCTACAATAATGATCTCGTCCTTTTCACTCCTCTACGAGTTTTCTTGTGTCATGCTGACTTAGCCTGAGACTGTATTTTAGTTTCTCAGAGACACACGCAACTGAAACGTAGGTGTCACTACACAAGTTTTCTTTTAGCACGGCACTCACTTTGACAGTGTTTTGACACTATCTGAAATGATTTAAACCAGCAGGAAATGTCTACAGCTTTTGCTTTCTGTATTTAGATAGCAAGAAAAACACACGACCCTTTGTGCACATGTACTTTAATACTTAAGTTTGGATAAACTCATTTAAAATGACACACACTAAAATATCTTTAGGAAGACAACTCAGCAATTGCACAATCCACTATAAAATTTTAAGGTCTAAGCATTTTGGGTCTGAAAGGTCTCAAGCTGTTCACAGGTGGTGGCTGTTTATCATCTAGGCAGGCACATGTAAGCAATAGATGTCAAAAACTTGATCATTTTTAAAAAGGCACCTTGAGGTTCTTTGAACCTTGAAGAGCATTTATTTTTGCTTTTCCAGGACCAGAACCTATGCAGCAAGCATTTCACACAGAGTACAAGATTTTCCAAATGCCTTTCAACAATACATTTAGCATCTCAAACTCTTACACCCGAATATTCTGGACAATTGTCTGACACTCCAAGTTGGGGCAAGGGCTTGTTGGTCTACTTAATTAGTTGGTTAAACAGCAAGAAATGCAACCAAGCATCTCTCCCTCTAGAGTGTTAACATACAGCCACAGGCTAATAGGCAGCAATTGTTCAATGTAATCACAAGATTTGAAAATCAAAATCCAGTGTTCTTGGATCAGGAGGTACCAACAAAGCCTTCCCTCGGCCTGATGACTTTAAATCACGGAAGTTATAATCATCAAACAGAGACTGGTCAAAGGGCTAAATACATCCTCCCAAAAGGATTTGACAAATGTCAACTGGCATTTAAAACACAGTCAATTCATCAAGTGGCAGCTATTGGTCTCACTGGGTAAACAAACTTCACAGGTTAGAAATGCTGTCTATTTGGGTGGGTTTTCTATCCCAAGTCCACCCTAGCACCTGCTATCAGACACCACTCAGCACCCAAAGAAATGGTCACCTTCTGGCTGAGACAGTTAAATAATGGTGACCCTTTGCAAGGAAAAACGTCTTGGCCTTGTTGGTGAGAGGTCCCCCAAAAAATGCATATAACGTTTTAAATCTGGGACACAAGTTAAGAAAATGTTTAAAAAAATAAATAAATGAAAAACTCTTTCATCTGAAGGCACAAATAATACATTGGCAGGCAGCTGATGAAACCAGGCTGACACATACCATCCAAGACAATTAAGAAGCATAAATACTTATGGATCATTTTTCCTCCAGGGCTCCAGCGATTGATGAAAACACCTAAAATCATCTTTCTGAAAGATGATGGAGCCCCGATTGCTCAAGACAGAAAAAGGAGTCCCCTAAAATCATCAAAAAAGGTTACTGTGAAAGGCCCCCCCGTCAGTAGAAAATTGAAATAAGGCAGGGGTTCTTCAATGTTTAGGTTGTTCCCGATCTAAACGGAATGACCTGATGCTATGCAGAGAAATAATGACCAATCACGTCCAACACAAGTATCTGCGATGAGTAATGCTGGAAGGTAGCGGGTTTGCTTGTTAGCAAGTGTTCAGCCGGTGTGGATCTCCTCAGCTGTCGCTCTAAGTGGCGGGCAGCAAACCAGGCAACCTGAACCCCCAGGAACGGTTGTGTGACGACAGACGAGGCTTACATTTCTGTCCTATTAATAGTTTCCCACTGTTAGAAGGCTAGAGATATTGGCGAGCAACTGTGCTCTCAGATTTGCCTGGTACCCGGACAGGAAGGCCTCGAGGGACCGTGATGTGGGTCACACTGAACAGCGGGCAGTAACACACAACACAAGACTTGTTTTTTAGCTTTTTAAATCCTGAGTGTTTCTGAGAAGGGCACCTACGAGCGATGGCACGCCCCAGCGTGCTGAAGATAGTGATAAAACACAGGGAAATTCACGAGACACATCCAGGACACATGCAAGGTTCAACCGGTGTCCCTCCAGGGGTGGGGGGGCTAGAACGTCTAGCTAGACCCTCCCCCCCCAGCACAGGACACAACTCGGCCTCCCGACCCTCGCTGGGGGCGTTTTTGACCAAGTGATACAAACAATTCAAGTAGCAGACAGAATTGGGGCCCTGCCCGGGGACTCTGCAGCAGGAAGCGTGCTCAGAAGCCTGGGGACCAACACACCGACGCCGGGCACGCAGGCACGGCGAACGCTGCACCCGTGGCTCAGATGAAGTGGATCCAGCTGTCCTCGCACTCGCCGCGTGGCATGTACAACTCATGGCTACGGCAGGTGAGGGTGTAGTCTCGGCCGTCGTGGTTGTCCCAGTGCTCGGAGCCGGCCACGCGGTAGCGCAGCGCAAAGTGCACGCGCGAGCCCAAGGCCAGCAGGAAGGGCGGCACTGGCAAGCTGAAGGCGAAGACGTCTTCGGTGCCTGCGGAGTCTCCGGGCCCGCGCCAGCGCGCCGCCGCCTCGTGCGCGCTGTGCCAGTCCGAGAAGGTGTAGCGCACGGCCACGTGTTTCTCGAAGGCCACGTTTCGCACGCGAACCGTACCGCAGAGGCCCATGTCGGAACAAGTGACGCGCTCCAGGCAGACCAGCTGGCGCCGCAGCCGCTCGCTGAAGTCCGCGGCCTCGACAGGCGGCGGGAAGTCGGGCACCAGGCACCGCAGTGTGAACTCCCGCTCCGGGCGGCTGCAGCACAGGTCCGCGTCCAGGGCCAGCTGCGACAGCACGTGCAGTGGCACTGCCGGGTCCTCGCCCGCGTTGAACACCTTGACTTGCGCCAGCTCCAGGCCCAGAGCGTCGGCAAAGCGCACGCGGAGCTGCCGGTTGCAGCCCGGCCGGCACGCGGCCCCCGGGGCGTTTCCGCTCGGCACACGGCGCTCGGGCGAACTGGGAAGCGAGCGCGCGCGTCGTGCCATGATGGGCCGCGGGCATCGCTCGCTCCCCGACGGCGCGCCGCTTGTGCTTCCCGGGGGCCGGCAGGGCCGTGCTGTCGGACCCGCGACGCCACTCTCCAGCTCCGACAGACAGCTGAGGCTCCGCGGAGCCAGTTTCCGGGCGGTCGGAACTCGGGGCTCCGCCTGGCCAGCTGTCGGGCGCCGCCCCGTGCGCTCCATCCGCGGCTCGAGTAGAGTGCAGGCGTCTCAGCACGTCCTGGGAAAGGGCAGGTCCAGGGCGTCTGGCAGCGTTAGGCTAGTGAGTTCCCGACGAGGCCACCGGGACTTCCCAACAAACCCTCAGCGCCCTACCCCGCCTTCTGCGGCCCCGCCTCTTACCGGGCTGCACTTGACCGGCGCCACCTCCCGGCGCGGCGCGCCCCGCCTCTCGTGACGTGCGCGCCCCGCGCAGCCGGAGAGCCCTTGCGCATAGCCGCAGGCCGGTTACCGCGGCGCGGCGGGGCAGAGGCGGGCGGCGCGTCACGTGTCCTGGGCGCTGGCCGGGCAGGTCTGATCCATGTATGTCTGCGTCTGCAGGGACTGGGCTCCTGCCGGGGCTAGGTCACGGCTGCTGGGATGAAGGCCAAGGACAGAGGCAGGCAGCCGCTCCTGGCGTTCCGGGCTCACGGGGGCGCGGGCCGGGGAGGGGGGCGGCCCAGAAGGTGGCCTGGCGGGCAGCAGGCACTGCGGGGGAATTTCAAGCATCCAGGTTGACCAGCTCTTGAGACTGCAACCGGGACCCTGGGCCCGATCTGGGGTGCCTCGTAGCCTAAAAAAGAAGCGTCATGTCCACACAGCACCCACAATGCCTTGCCGCGGAGATGGATGGCCAGCTGTCTTGAGAGCGGGGAAGGGGAGGCGCCGCTTCTCTGGGTCTGGTGCGGTGCCAGTGAGGAAAATGCGGGAGCTTGATTTATGCCGGGTGACAGACCGTGCAGCTGCTTGGGAACGTTTTCTGTAGCCAGTGTCATTGCGGACTCAAGGCTTCTTCATGTAGTCAGAAGCCCCAGGGAGCCTGGGAGCTTGCTTCCTGCATCTTTAGAACCCGGGTGGACATCCGTGGACCCCATCCTTACCCCCCACTAACTTGTGCACATAAAGTGCTTCAGCATACAGCTTGGCAGGTGACGTGGGAAAAGATGCAAAGGCACTTAACAGAGAGCCTTGTGGGGCCAGGCATTCAAGAAGGCTACTTTTTTACTCTCCAGAGACCCAGAGACGTGAAACCTGTAAAGAATTGGGGCAGATTCCCTTCTGACTTCTAAAATTAGTATAGCAGCTTGAGATGAGTGTCGTGCCTTAGTTGTGCGAATCCACATGTTGTTTTTATCAGCATTACATGTTAATGTAGTGTCTTTGAGTCAGTTCCGACTCATAGCGACCTTATAGGGTTTTCATAGCGACCTTATAGGGTTTTCAAGGAATGGCTCGTGGCTTTGAACCACTGACCTTGCAGTTCAGACCGACCTTGTAGTGGAACATTACATAGAATCGGACAAAAGAGGCTTCCATGTTAAATGGAGGAAAGTACAGGAACATTTCAGGAACAAAATAACAGATCTAAGCCCTGCCTGCTTTCTTTGTGACTGAGGCAGGGGTCTGGCTGGAGGGGGAGAGAGTTTCACTCTGCCTAGGTCGGGACTTGGCTAAAGAGGCCATTCCGTAAGGAAGGGGAGAGCAGTGGTGTGAGCTGCACTAATCACAATTGATGGGCTTTGTAACTGGTATGCCGGAGCATGCAGATACTGTTAGAATGATGTGATAGGGAAGGCCAGTAGGATGGGAAAGAAGGTTCCACACTAGAGTTTGAGTTTCAGGGCAGCAGAGACCACAGTACAGTCCTTCGTACTTGGGATGAAGGATTGGGTGCTGAGGCTTTGGGATAAGAGCTGAGTAATTGTTAAGTGCCATTGAGTTGGTTCCGACTCATAACAACCCTGTATAGGCTTTCTGAGGAGCGGCTGGTGAGTTTGAACCACCTATCTTGTGGTTAGCAGTCCTCAAAGTGTTATTTCCAAGGAGATTGTTACTATCTATATAGACAAACGGACTTGTGTTGTGGTACTATAAGGAAAACACTGGACTGCTAACCACAAGGTTGGCAGTTCAAATCCACTAGCTGCTCCTTGGAACCCTTTACAGGGTCACTGTAAGATGGAAACAACTTAACAGCACTTAACAGCAACAACAATATAGATGTATTCACGAGGGGTTCAAAAAGCTCTTGGAAAAATGGAATGAAAAGATAATGGCATTCTTCCATGAACTTTTTGAAGCCCCCTTGTCTACACATGTATGTTGTTAACTGTCCTCAAATTGTTTCTGACTCATGGTGAACCCATATAAGGCTTCTGAGGAGCGGCTGGTGAATTTGAACCACCCACCTTGCGGTCTGGTGCTTATCATACAGTACCACACCAGGACTCTGTATATACATGTTCATATACACGTATATATCTGGGTGCTCCAAATGGTTGCATACTGGACTACTAACCGAAAGCTTGGCGGTTCAAACCCATCCAGGACACCTTGGAAGTAAGGCCTGGAACTCAGCTTCTGAGAGGTCACAAACTTGAAAACGCTATGGAGCAGTTCTACCTGCACATGTGGGGTCGCCATGATTCCGAATAGGCTGGACAGCAACAAACATACACACACATACACACACACACCTGTACAGAGGAAGAGAAGGCCCATTGGCAGCATTTATAGCAGTGTGATCACGTATCTAATATTCACCGTGAAGTAAGATGACGCTGTCAACATAAGGTGATAACAACTGCCTCCCAAATTTCAATGCTCTGAGAATACTAAAAATCGAAGTGAAAAGCCAACTTGATGCTGGTGTTGGGACCATTTGCTATAAACACGGACTTGACAGTGTTGCTTCTGTTTCCGGTAGCGAGGAGTCGTTTCCAAATATAAGCGGAATAAAGAAACCACTTCCCCAGCTGTCGTCATCTTCCAGCAGATTACACAAGAATATTCCGAGCACTGCAGAAAAGGTGATGGAAAGATCAGTGGAGACGCTTGCCTGGATTTGTTCTCCTTTTTGCTTGCTTGGGGGGCAGGTGTAGGGTGCATCACAGTAGTCTGTCTGCTTGCTTGGGGGCAGGTGTGTAGGGTGTATCACAGAATTTATGACCACAAGTCTGTTTTTCAGACAGCCCATCCAACCCTCGGCGATGTTCAGCCGTGTGTTTTTTTTGAGAAAGGGAATAGGGTGAATGAACCTCATCAGAAAAGCAGGTAAATACTTTTTTTTTTTTTTTCATTTAATTGCATTATCTTGCAAAAGTTAAAGTGGTCTCCATTCTCCAAATTGCATTTGTATATGGTTGGGGGGAAAATAATGTGGATAAAAAAAAAAAAGTGCTTTTAAGTGACTAGCAAAATGGTTTTAAGCATTGCTAGTTTGTGGTAACGGTCCAGGAAATGAAATTTCTGACCATGGTAGCTGAGTCTGCAACTTGGACTAAGTTTCTTTGCCGTGATAATCTCCTTTTCTATAACAAGGATGCTGATAGCAATTTACCTTTATGGATACATGCTGACACATGGGTCTCAATGAAAGTTTTAAAGTCTAACAGCTCTGATGTGCAGAGAGAATTACTCCCGGAAGAACAGCTGCTATACTAGTAACGCACAAACCAAACCTGCTTTCACAGAGTCAGGACCAACTCACAACCCAAGAAAACCACCCTGGATGGTTTCTGTCATCCTTACTAAAGCGGACTGCCACATCGCTCTCCCATGGAGTGGCTGGTGGAGTTGAACCATGGACCTTTTGGTTAGCAGCCGATGGTTTAACCGCTTTGCCATCGTGGCTCCTTGATCTAACATCATATGAATGAACTGTCACCTCTTGAATGGCAAGTACCTGGAATTGATAAGTGTGTGTGTGTGTGTGTGTGTGTGTGTGTGTGTGTGTAACAGACATGATATTCATCAATTTCATGTAGTTGCCATTCATGAGATAGCATCACCTCTATTTTTTTTTAACTCATACTGGGTTATAGGGGTCCTGGTGTGGCACTCTAGGGAACACACTGGCCTGCTAACTGCAAGGCCGGCTGTTCAAACCCACCAGCCGCTCCTCGGAAACCCTATACAGGGTTGCTATGAGTTGGAACCAAATCAACAGCACTTAACAAGAAAAACTACCACAATTGTGTTATAAAACATCATATGATATTATCTCATCCTTTTTAGCACAATTTGCCTGTGTTTCTTATTTGGAAGCAATTTAGTAAAAGCTTTGGGGTTCAGGTGTAGGTTGTATATGCTACTCTTGCTTGTTAAGATTTTAGTAACTCAAAATAGTGATTAAATTCTGCAAGCACCCATCACCAATCAGTGATTAAATTCTGCAAAGCTTATATTTATTTTACCTCTTAATTTACATGGAATTTTAAATGAGCACATAAAAGAAAGCTGTGGATTTTCCTTGATTACGTTATTAAACACGGCTAGTCCTAGTGTGGCGCTATAGGCTAAGCATTCAAGGTCAGTGGTTCAAACCCACCAGCTGCTCCTCAGAACCCCTATACAGGGTCTCTATGAGTCGGAACTGACTTAATGGCACTTAGTCAGCTAGTTCGAAACTACCAGCCGTTCTGCGGGAGAAAGATGAGGCTTTCTGCTCCTGTAAAGATTTACAGCCTCAGAAACCCTGTACAGGGTCGCTATGAATCGGAACTGACTCCATGGCACTTACCAACAACAACATTCATTAACAGCCAGAAGCCCTGGTGGAACAGTGATTAAGTGCTCAGCTGCAAACCAAAAGGCTGGTGGTTCAAACCCACCCAGAAACTCCTTTGGAGAAACACCTGTCAGCCAGGTCCCTAAAAGGTGACAGTGTGGGATGTCTTCTGGGGCAGTTCTCCGCTCTTACATGGGCTTGTGAACTAGTCAGAATCCACTTAATGGTACCTAGTAACAACAGCCCATACTGCAATGAGTAGGAATCAGCTCTGCAGTGGCTCTGGCTTGCAGTTTAACAACAAGAAGCGATACCTGACTAGTTCAGCTGTGGGCGGGGGGGG